TTTAGTAATTTGAGAAAATAAGCTTTCCTTTAGCTCCTGCTACAGTGAAACTAGTATGACACACTCAAAACAAGAGCATCCAGGAATAAAACAGAATGTTCCTAATCAGGACAGATTTACTGTGAGCCTTGGGTAAACCTGTCCATCACTATCTGTATTCAGCAGTTCTGTATGTTGCAGCAATGCTTACATGAAAAATCAGTCAATTTTAATTTAGCCTGTAAACTTCTGTCCCATATGGCATAACTGTTCAGGATTCAATTATTTTGTGTATGTTAAATCTCTTAAAATAATGTTGTTATAAATAGATATAGCTGGAAAAAAATATTGTTTTTAGGACTAGGATGGCTAAACTAATGAATAGTTGATAAAAATGTGAAATAAGTGTTAATTCATCTTTTACAGTCAGTAACAGTACAGCTGTACCTGGAAGAGCTGAAGAGAGGAAATAAAATTGCTGAGTTGGTTTCAACTCTGTGTAACACTTGTCTAAATCATTGGCCTTTTTTCTAATAGACCTAGCTCTGTTTTGTCCTTGGATGTTTGAATAGTTCTTTGGGTTGGAGAGGATTCTACTTTTGAATTGAAAACATTTTCAGTCTTTTTAAAATTTCTACTACTTTTGTGCAGTAGAAGTTCAACTATCCTGAAGCACTTCAGTGAGAAAAATACTCCTCTGTTTGGTCTCAACATATACGAATTTGAAACCCTATGCTTAACAACCATAAAAACAAAATGCTATTGGGTTTTGAGATTTTTTAAAGTGATAATTATTTTCAGTATCGCAACTCTAAATTTGAGCATCTGATGGAGGGAGTATATCTTTTTAATAAAAAAAATTATTTTTGAGTCTAGCCTCACTCTAGAAAGTGGAAGGTTTCAGGCTGTTTCAAGCTATGTGCTTGAGTCTTTAAGCATTTTGACAGTCTTATGTGTTTTATCCCTGCACATGCAAACCCACAACTTTCTTACTGAGGATGTGATTGCAAGTTCACTGAGCTCAGACTTTGAGTATAGATTCAAGCTCTTAAAAAAGGTATTTACCCTGAAAAATGTGCAGAACCTTTCTTAAAATATGCTAATGATTACTAAAAGAAAGGACTTTTAATGTATGCATGTGAAATATTTAATAGAAATGAACTGCTTCTCCAGCTCTGAAAAAAAGACTGCACAGAGAAGCTTTGCCAGATGACACCAGGTCGAGAAGTGCTTTGTGAGAAATGTCTTGGCCTGTTCTAGTCACTGATGAAATTCGCTTTCCACTTCAGTAAGGCCAAAATTTCACAGTTGGATGATGCCCTAGAGATTATCAAGAACACTAAGAAAAATTTCCCATCACTGCTGATTAATTACCCAGAGTAACAAGTGTTCCCCTGGGCAAATTTTTGCCTCAGTTATAGATAAGCAATGCGATGTGAATTTTAATGAAGTGCAAACTCTGCAACAGGCAGGATAAAGTCACCATTGCACCATGTGTTCCTGTTGGCACCCTGGTAACATAAAATCTAGAATTATAGTCATTGCTCTCTAATATAATAAAGCTAAGGACTTTAGGGTTACTAATTCAAGTGTATTTTGGGGTGGGAAGGATAAAAGCAGGGAAGAAACACACTCAGAGTTCTAGTAGAAAATAATTTCATGTATGAGAGTTATTTGTAGAGGAACTCAGAGAATGATACTGGCAAGAGCATGGAATAAATCCATGAAAAACCTCCAATCCTTTCTACAGTACAAATACTGATTTCCTTTTTTTTTTACTATTCCTATGTACTTCTACCAATTACTGCATTGAAAGTATTTACTAATGTGCACGAGGATATGTAGTCAATTATCCAAAACAGATGTTTTTTAATTAAAAAAACTATTCCTTTGTTATGATCAATATGTTACAACATGTAATTATCTCATGAATATCACGGTCATATCAGGTTAGTACATCGGAGATGATTCATATAAGTTAGATCTCTGGGAAGATTTGGGATGCATGTTCTTTGTCACTTGGTTAAACAAAGCCATTTCCTTTCCCAACATACCTTGCCTCACTTATATTCTCACAACTGAAAAAAAAAAGGCATTAGTTTAGCTATGCAAATGAAAACTCATTTGGGACATATTTTTGTTCTGCCAATTCATGTTTTTCAATGTCCTCTGCCCTCCTTTATAGTCCTAAGTGAAGAACTGCTTTTCTTAAAATTGGAGAGTGTATGTATTTTTGAACCTTTTTTTTCCTTTTTGTTACTTGTACAGAATGTGAGTTTGAGAGAGCTGGAATAACGGAGACACAAGCGTCTCTTAAAAATCTGCATAGTTTCAAAATTTTGAGTGGGCTTGTTCATAATCCTCCAAGAAGTCCCCTGTGAGTAGGGAAGCATAATTTGTTTCATTATATAGATAGTAAACTTAGAAGTGAAAAGCTACAGAACTCTAAAAACAGACAGATGGTCCCTAATCCTCGACATGAAAAAGGAAAAATGGTGGTGGTGGAATTAAAAACAAAAAAAAAACAAACAAAAAAAAACCCAACCCAAAACAACTGCCAGCAAACCTATCAGGTTTACTGCTGAGTTTATGCAGGCAAAAGTTTTGATGAATCACAAGTGCTTCTTGAGTTGCCAGTCTTTTCACTTTACTTGCTGTGCATGTAGTGCTGCCCATCACCTGTTGTTAATTATAACATCCTATAAATCTAATGTTAGAAGACACAGTGACTGCACTGGCTTAATGGACACTCTAGGAAAAAAATAATTTTTCAAGAATTTATTCCTGGATGAGCTTCCATGAACCTGGCACTGTCATGAACTGATATTTCTATTAAGAAAAACACTAGTGAATGCCTTTAAACAAATAAGGTCCTGGCTTTATACAATCATTGTGGTTTCAAGCACCATATCAAAAAACACTATGACGGGAAGCTATCATTTAATAAATCAAAATAGCTTGCTTGGTAATAAATATTTTTCTTAGAAACCACAATATTCTCTTTTCTATGCATCCATGACCTTCCAATTCCTGATTTTTTTTACTGGAGTTACAAAGTAACGTGGGAAATAACTCTGCATGGTGAAATCATTCAGTAAAGCTGTGCCTACACTGTGGTTAGAACAACTTAAAAATGTGTGATTTCAGGCATACATGATCAAATCCTTCCACTTTTTCAGGTAGCTACAATTTGGCCGAACTGTGCAGTGCTGCCTTTCTGAGATAAGGAAAGCGTTCAGTTTTGACTAAATCATTTCAATTTTATTTCTCAAGCTTTGTATTGTAAAAAAGGGTGAGCAATATTTCCATCTCACAGTATGGGAACGAGTTTCTTGCCTGTATGGACCCTGAGCATTAAAAAACCCACAACAAACTAAATGCTTTTGTAAATAATACTGCTCTATACAAAGTCCTTCAAGTTTTCTAATGTCTGCTAAGAAAGGCATAAAAAAGTTTATACAAGTCTGAAGATTCACCTTGTTTTACTAGAATCTCTTTTATGATGCACTTCTCGGGCAAAGATCACTGTATTCTTCCATTTATTTGTTCCGCAGTTATTCAGTATTCTACAGCAAGAATGTTTGTGTTCCTGGGTGTGAGATTCTTTCTATAATGAAGTGCAATGTGGATACGAATATATTTGTATAGCTTCAATGACTTACTGGCTCTGCTTGCAAGTAAAAATATGGTTTTGATTATCCTTAAAACTCCTGATTCAACCTACTTTGGGAAAGTTGAGCTATATTGCTTTTTATTGTTCACATGACACAGTGTGCATTCTAGCAGAGATCCAAGGTACTGTACAGTGGACTTGCATCAAAAGGGAAACTGTTTCCCTTGATTGGAAGCTGAAACGTAACTTAAGGAATATTAATAACAGAAAGGTATTGAAATTGGTGTTCTGGCTTTAGGCAAATGATTTCTCAGTGGTTCAAAATGCAGGTTTAGGAGATGGATAGGACAAAAATTGCTGAAAGTAAATGAGAAATATCATGAAACCTTGGAAAAAAAGTAAAAATTGGAGTATCATTTGTTTAACAGCCAGACTTTAAATGACCTCAAAGAACTATGCTCCGTGTTGGTTACTGTCTTGTAATGGAATTCCATTACTTTGAAAGCAAATGTGGAGCCCACGACAGCTTTGTTAGATATACTACAGAGAATACAACTATCCTCTAGCTGATCTTCCTGTGCACCTATCTCTGTATTTTTTTTTCCTTTTCCTCTTGTCTGTAGTGGTGATTATATGAAAACCCATTTAAATCTTATCTGAAGCATCTTTAAGATTCACGGTAGTATATTGTGGATGTTGTGTGATTCTGTTAGGGCAATGGACAGAAAACTAACCGTTACTTGATTACTGATATGCCAGGAAAGGAAGGGATACAGTAAAGCCATGTGAGGGTAGAAAACTTTCTGAAAATCTTTTTTACATAGCTTAGTTCTGAAGATAGTTGTGTCTTTGCATCCTTATGGGCCACCTGCTTTGTTTTATTTTTTATTACAATTCTGCAACTGACTGCCTTCCCATCTACATCCTAAGTTGCATGTTCCTATAACATGCTGTGACTACATCAGGCCTGCGTTGTGTGCAGTTCCTTTCTTAAGGGAAAACATGATGCTATTAACCAGTGACTGGTTAAGTAGGCTTTCATAAATGCAGTTTTTCATGCTGAGTGAGTAATATTTCTGAAATAACCTCCTGTATGGATAGTCATCCCAGTAAACAGAAACTTATCTCAATTTGTGTATGAAAAGCAGTTGATGTCCTTGGCAAAGGCTCTCTCTCTCAGAATAATATCCTGACATCTTCTGGCTTTGCTGAATGGAGAAGTTCTCTCCTCATCTTTGACTTGAGGGCAGCATTCTCATGTAGCTTCCAGTCTTTGCCTCTTAAAATTTTTTACAAGATAGATCCTTTTCAATGGCCATATTTTTTCCCAGGAAATGAAACTTTGAAAGACATGTTAATTGCATTGTTTCAGCATTAGACTTTTTCTGTAATTATGGAAGAAAATTACCTCAGTTTAACAGGAGAGTGCTTCACTCTACCGATTCTGATATCCAGACTCAACATCCAGTAATGAGGAGATCATAACAGTGCTGAGTATCAAATTTGAAGGATTCTGACAATCTGCATTTTCTTTTCTAGAAAGAGAAGGGAAGAAAGAAGGTATGTTAATAGCCTTCAAAAAGGCAGGACAGCAAAAAGATATTTTTTACTTTACTTGAATAAATAAGCTACGTAAAGTTTATTTTATTTTCTTATTTTAATGTTTTTTTATGTTACTACATTAAATAAACATGAAACAGCACAGAGAAACCATGTTTAAAACTGTTGCTCACATTACAAAGATGCCATGAAGGGCTCACATTTTGGTTTGTTTTATTTTTGTGAGTAATATCATCTCTATTCCCCCATTATGCTTCTGTGTAGCTCTATAATTCACAGTCAATTGTGAGTTATTTTCTCATTGGACTACTTTGTATATTACAAAGGATCGTTATTTCTAGTTTTACATAGCTAATTTTTCTCTCCTCAACATCAGGCAGTTTCAAGCTTGTTCAGAATTTTGAACAAGCGAAAGCTGGAAAAATGAGAGAGAAAACTGAAATACTTCACTGTACAGTGTAAACTCTCTGGTATATCACAAAATACCAGACAACAAATTGCATCAACCAAAGCCTAAAACCAAAGTAGTTTTTCCCCCGCCTCATAAACGAGTAACAGTCGACAGCTCTGGAATGTGCACTCTTCTCCCATGAAAACATTTTTCCGCTCTGCCTTTTCCAAAACTCAAAAGTTCAAAGCTAAACTACTATATGTTATAAAAGAACAAATTTACCATGACACTTAAACAAAGACATGAGTCAGTGTATTCGAATTTCTTGAGGGAGGAAGGAGTTATGTTTCTTGTTAAGACAAGGTTTGCAGTAAAGAAGTTATTTTTATAGTTTTATATATCTCCTTATAATTATTTATTCACATAGAGGTTCTGTTTTACTGCACAGTTAAAGTTGTAATTCATGCCCTTTTTGTAATGGATATATTAATTGAGATTTACAACATTTCTCCTCAGAAAACAAAATACTAACATCCTCATTAAAGAAATGGGCAAATGCAATCACAGACATTAAGAAACTTGGTTCACTGTTATTTAGGATATCTGTGGCAATCTGGGAACCTCAGCTGCTGCTTTTTACTCTGAAGAGTACTACTTTTGTTCTTGGGAATGGTACAAGCAAGATGACCAGCATATATGTTGAAGACAGAGACAAAATGAGATAGCTTAGGACTGCTGTGGGGGAAAAAGCTTATATCTGGAATAAAAAGCATGTGATTTTGTGTCCTCTTAAATGTGAGGTGTAGAACATAATAGATTAAGCAGCTGAATTGCTCTATGTAGTTTTTAAAGCTGTCTAGGAAACTTGGAACACCATTTCTGTTTCTTTGGAACAAGTGGCCAACTCATTTGTCTGCCTTGAAAAACCTTTACTTCTGTTCCTGACTGAAGTAAGATGGATATTCTGAAAGTCATTGCTCTTGTGAAACAGGAAAGAAGTACAGAAAGCCACAGAGCTCCTGCTAATACTAAGCCTGGCCATTAATACGTAATATTGATTTGGAATATCTTAAAGGATTCAAACTTCTCCTAGGTACTGTAGTAGCTTTAATGTGTCCATTCTTTCAAGCAGATTGATGTTTCAAAGCCTTGTTCATTGTGGATACAAATTTGGGATAGCTAGACCAAAGATCTGCTCTAGACTCAGACCTTTGGCACTGAATGTTATATTCACCAGAATGGAACCAAAATCAGAAAATCCTTGAGCGTGGAGAAAGCTGACATATCGAAGTATATCCAACAGCCCCCACACACCGTCAGGACTTAGTTTTCCCTTATTAATATGTAAAGATTTATTAGATCATTCTCTAAAAGCAGCGTTCAGCAACTGTAGAGATGATGTGTTCAAACCGGGGGACATGTTTTTTTCCTTCAAATTCAATTTTTTAAATGATATAGCTTAGACATGAAGTATCATAATTTCTATAGCTGCCCTTCTCTGTTGTTTCTGCAAGATGATGTGTGATAGGACCTTACCTGGTAGTACCTATAGTCATAAGTTCTCTTTAGCCTTTTTAAAATACTAATATATTTAACAGGAAAATGCAGAGAGGCTGTAATGCAATTAATACAAAGGGAGGTTTTAAATTTTAACTTTTCAAATGTAAAGGTTTTGAGTTTTTGTTTGTCTATTTTAGAGGCCCTTAACCAACTGTGCCGTTGAATTCAATGTTGGTTATGAATGAGACTGTAGAAAATAGAGACATGGTCTGTGGCAAGTACATTTCTAGTAGGGGAGAGTGTCACAGTCAGTTTTCTAGGGTGCAGGCACATCACATAGTCACAATGGCTAGAAGCACCAACTAAAGAGGGGAACCTGCATTAAGTGACCTGCTGGGTAGATGACCCATGTTTTGATAACATCTGGAATAAGGACAAAAGTGAACTCTGCTTGACAGACAATAAACCCATTTAATTTTCAGTCACCATGAGCTAAACTATAATAGTTACTATGAAAGCCACACCAGGATATAAATGTCATTGAGTAGTACGACACAATTAGGAGGCAGTAGCTTGACAGAAAAAGGGGAGCTGATTTATGGCTCATAGTGGGTACGCTGGCTGCCTGTGTATAAATGAGGGTGAGATGGGGTTTGCTCCCCGCTTTCCTTGCAGCCAAGCATAGTCCTCATCTATGTGCTGCTTCCTCTGGCTACACAGGCAATACAGGCAGCAATACCTTGTATGTTCTGTAACAGTCAGAACCACAATTCGGGCAAACTTGGTACCAGACAACGTAATAAGTATCACACAGGGCAAGTATATATTCCCTCAGCTTGTGCTTCCACCTCCCACGTTATGCAAGTGAGCAGGGAAGAGACTTTCACCAGAGGTTAGGAAAACTGTGATTTATAGCACTGGTGGCAGGTGGAACAGGGAAGACTGTGAGACCAAGGGAGCCAAGTATTTTAAGCATCTGTTATAGGCCTGTGCCAGATACAGGATACCAGACAAGATGTGCCATTTGTCTGTTCTTGAATGGAATTTCCTATGTCCCTAATACCAGGCAAACTCTGTTTATTTATAATATAACTACTTCTGGTTTTGTGAGATGATATACAGCACATTTCATTTTTTCACTTTCACAATGACTTTTAAACACTTAAGAAGTGACTTATTTTGCTGTGTAAATTCAGTCAGGCTTGGAGGATGTTTTTGCTGTGTCATGGGTGAATCTGTAAGGACTGGAAAACTTCGCAGTTTAGGGAGGCTGCATTGTGTAGTTTTCAGAAGTACAGTTTTCTCTAATGCTTGTCTGGATTAAGAACAGGACCCATGTCAGTAGGCAGTGATTTCAATTGACAATTTGCATGAACTTAAAGAGAAGAATGATTTGGGAAATGCTGAATGTCCTCTCCTGACAGTGGATTTTTCCCCACTTCTAAGCAATTATACTTAATAAGTGATTCCAATTATTTCCCAAAGGAATAAGCAGGAATTTCTAAGCAAAGCTTTTTCTCAGAGTACGTCAATTCAAAACTACAGCTTTCTAATGGAAATGTAATCATTAGTTGTAAAAGGAAATGGCTCTCATTTCTTGGAGTGCATTTCTAGACAAAATTTGACAGAAACACAACCTTCCCAGAGTAACAGTATCTCACAATGAGACTGATTAAGTTGGAGTTGATTATCCCACCTTTTAGTCTCTGTGCTACCTTGTAAATCGAAAAGACACAAACCCCAATTATGCTCAAGACCAGGAGGAAAAGTCAGTGCTGATATATCTAGGTCTAAAAGGAAAATAGAACAGCCCTACAGTCCCAAGACCTTGGCTCCAGAGTAAGCCAGTTGCACAGAAGGGTCCATCTTCTGCACATCAACCTTTATTACTGTCAGCACCCTTTCCTGTCAGTGCTGGAATGCCCATTTGCTCTTGCTCCAAAGGCACATCAGGCTGGACTGTCAAACCTGCCAGCCCTTCCCAGGGGCCTTTACTGGTACCTCCACTCCAGCATCATATCTCCCAGTACTTTATCAGCAAGCTGTGTCCTGACTATCTCACTACTTTCCTAACCAAGACCTTTTTTCGGACTGTTGCTAATTTTTGAGTTTAGAGGAGGTGATACCCAAGACAGACTTCCTGACCTGGGCCTTTAGTTGACCAAGGCTTTTTCACAGAAATGCCTTGGTTTCTCTTGGACAGGACAAGGGAATTTAAAATAAACAAAAGTCTGCAAGATGGAAAAAGTGAAAAGTTGTAGTGATGAATTTACTGACAAAACCACGAAGGCCCATAGAATTACTAATCATAATCCAATTTCCTCCAGTGATATTCCCTCTAAGGTTTTAGGTCACAAGGTACATCATAGCACGTGCAATTAACTGCCTGCATACATGTGCTGCATGAGTTCATCCCTTTCTGCCTCACTTTTTCTGTTTGTAAAGCTGAGGCTGTGTTATTAGACTGGGGCATAGCTCTGAAGTCCAGCTTCTGGCTAGAGTTGTTACTACAATAATTAATGCAGCAGATGTCAGAATCAAGTGAAAGCAGCCATTTGACAGTCAAAGCACAAACCACAGTCATCACTTGCCTTGTGTTATTGCAGGTATAGAACCAACAAGAGCAGAAAAATGTTCACACTTGCTTCTAGATGTAATCCTCTGTTAGCAGAGTATCTCCCCTCCCCCTCTGAAAGGTTTTTCCAGTACACTTTGCTGTTTTTAGCTGTAGCTAGAAAAGATACAGCTGTGTTTTTTGGCTTATATAACTTGAGCTCAACCCTCAGCAACAACTTAGTCTGAGCTATTTTACAAAACTATTTTTCTGTAAACATTTTCATTCAATAGTTACCATGCGATATCTATGCTCCCTTAAAACACACTAGTTGACTGGGTGCCTTATCTTCCTATTAGCAGACTGGTCAGATACTTGGGAGGTGGTCTGAAAGCTGGGGACAGAGGTGAGACAGAGAGCATTTTGTGAAGGCTAGACTCGGACACAGAGTCCTGTGATAGACAGTCCAACAAGCTGCTGCTGAGCGACGCAGAAAGCAGTGTCTCAATTGGCAGTTGAATGGATATAGT